AATGAAGTGTGTATATATATATATATATATATATATATATATATATATATATATACACACATAAAGGGTCAAATAAATGTAGTAAAAAGCAGAGTATTATAATATTTCCCTGTGAAATGAAGTGGACTTGAAGTATAAAATATAGCATGGAATGGAAATACTCCAGTAGTAGTATAAGTACAAGTATGTTAACGTTTACTTTTAGTACCTGTACTCATACAGTAAATGTGCTGAAAATGTCCACCACTGTATATAAATAGTTTCTTAACTTGTTTCCATAGAAAGTGAACCTGGTTTGCAATAGAATTTGGTTGTGAAACACTCTTAAATGTACCTGTTCACAAACCTGTAATCAACACCAACTTTGTGTTGCTCTAGTGTGCGACCAGCTGGCTCTCGGGGTGGTCGCTGTGTTCGGCCCTTCTCACAGCTCCTCAGTCAGTGCTGTTCAGTCCATCTGCAATGCCCTGGAGGTCCCTCACATACAGACCCGCTGGAAACACCCGTCAGTGGACAACAAAGACACCTTCTTCATCAACCTGTATCCCGAGTACACCGCCATCGCCAGGGCCATACTGGACGTAGTCACTTTCTTCAAATGGAGGAAGCTAACGGTGGTCTATGAAGACAGCACGGGTAGGGCCTATTGTTTTTTATCAGTCAGATTGCCATTGAAATTCAGAACTAATTTAACTAAACTGATGCAGTGAAAAGGGAGATAATTGAAAGTAAATCTATTTGATTTAGTCAGTCTTTCATGTGGGAATAAAGCAAATTTGCAGAAGCAAAGTCATATCAAACTGAGCTCTAGCAGGATCAACAGAAAAAAATCAGGTCAGAAATCTAATGTCACTTAATGTGTGATACAATCTTCAAAACCAGGAAGAGACAATATCAACTTTATCACCATATTACCATAAAACAATCCCAAACAATGTCTTTTTTAGAATATCTACAATAATAACTGACTATGGATTCCATTTTTTAATGATTTTATTTCCCACTGTATTATTGAATATCAACCATAACACTGCATGACATTTGAAGTGGGGAACTGAGAGGGAGAAGAGGTGAAAGGGGCTGGCTTGTGTCTTCCAGACTTTACAATATATTGATATGTCATGGTTATAATTACTCACAAAATGCAATTCCACTGTCAACCGCACTGTCACCTTCCTCATGCTGGCCAGTGAACCCATCTGTGACAGGGCTCGAGTGGCTCATATCAAACAGCTGCCAGCATTCCTGGCCTCTGTCTTTGAGCCAAACCACAACACAGATGGCTATAAATCTAGCAGTGTCCCATATAGTCCCTGCCCACGACCCAGAGAATATGAAATGCTGCTGTTGAAATGTCATAGTTTATAGATTTTTGTAACCTTTTTTTTCGATCAGGAATTTATTTTCCTAAAATGTCACTCAGACACACACCTGCACAATTACACACTGCTGTACACAAGTACAGGATACAGGAATGCGGGGTATGTGTATAGGTTGTACAATACAGGTGTGTGTTTGCCTGCCTGAGCAGCTGAGCTGCAGGCTGATGCGGTGAATAGGGATCACGTCCCTCAGTTAAAGGATAGGGGTCCACGTTCCCCTGCTGAAGTGTCCTTGAGCAAGACCAGGACCCTTCTTGCAGCAGAGGAGGAAAAAACAAATGCTTAAGATACATAAAACATCTAATTGTCCTTTTTTTTAAGGTCTGATGCGGATGCAGGAGTTGATCAAGGCTCCGGCAAAGTTCAACCTGAAGATCAAAATCCGGCAGCTGACCCCGGGTAACCAAGATGCCCGACCGCTGCTTAAGGAACTGAAGAAAGACAAGGAATTTTTTATTCTCTTTGACTGCTCCTATCGCATGGCTGCGGAGCTCCTTAAGCAGGTTTGTTTGTTCTACAGATTTTATGACACATTTATGTGTCCTTTGAGAGCAACAACTCTGGTGATTCACAATGTCTTTTTATGTTGAAAGAAATCATATGAAACATATTATCTTGTTTACTAAGACCTTTATTGTGATTTGAATGTCAGCCATTAAAGCAAAAAACAGCACTTCCCTTATCATTGTCAGAATTGTAAATGGTCCATAACGTGATTCCTATCACGTGGATTAGTTTATATGCTAACGTAACTTGATGGTTACATGATGGTGAAGTACCTGGTGATTTATGAAACCAACAGACATACTGACAGATGTATTTGACTATCCTTGCATGCACCAATTTCAACACATTATTTATATAACTGAATTTCTATTCTTAGTTCATTTGTTTTCATCTATATTGTCTATCATTAACAATAACAAAGGATAATACCTTAATTCATCTTTTTCTTAAGCTACATATTGTTTTATTTATAGTGGCATCTTCAGTTTGGATTGTCATTAAATAAAATACACATAAATTAATAAATGTCATCCCATATTTGATGCAGTGTGCAAATAAGAAATGTCCAGCCAGATTACTTGTTATTAAAGGTATGACACTGTAGCTGTAGCACTGGAGAACTCATCATATTTAATATAAGCAATATAACCTGGCATTTTCTCTTATTACTTTATTCCTTTATTTCACTTTGCAGCTTTCATCAATGGGAATGATGACCGAGTACTACCATTTCTTCTTCACGACTTTGGTAAGAAAAATGCGCAACTAAAGTTGTTTTATGGGAGATATCAGACAAAGTAAAACCACACTCATCTTGGCCTTGAACTGGCTTTGTAAATTTACTGGGAATGTTAAAAAAATTGTTTAAATAAAATGTTTGTTGTATTTCATCAGCACAGTAAAAGGCTGAGAAAGCGACACCCTGAACTGGAGCTTAAATCTCTGTCCGGTTCTTTCTCTTTCTATTGCACAACATCCCTCCTTCCCTCCTGCTCCTCATCTCCTCTGTTCACTTGCAGGATTTGTTTGCCTTGGACTTGGAGCCGTACCGCTACAGTGGGGTCAACATGACAGGCTTCAGACTGCTGAACGTTGATGACCCGTGGGTGGCCTCCACGATGGACAGGTGGGCCATGGAAAGACTGCAGGGTCCCAAACAAGAGAGTGGCCTGATGGATGGAATCATGACTGTAAGCCCTGTACTGTTTATTTTTTTTACATGCACTATAAACAGCTGCTCTGCTGAAAGCCACTGATTCACATTTGTATGCTGCATGCACGTTTGCATACAATTGTAAACTGCAAACATCTGCTAACCTGTAAATCTTTGTAGGAGCTATATTTCAAATATTAAAGCTGTAATCCTGTTTGTTCCATCAATATATATATACTATATGTTTACTTCTCTTGTGGCAATTTTTTTTGCAGTAACCAAAACAGTGTCATCTTTTTGCATTTTTATGTTCAAGATATGTTTTCTAACTGTGATTCAGCTGTTTGGTTGTGTACTGCACATAGGCCTGTGAGTGTAGTGTAGTAAAAAAAATAAATCCCACCAACATCTCCCTCCCACCGCCTCCTCCGCAGACAGACGCAGCCTTGATGTACGACGCAGTGTTCATGGTCGCTGTTGCATCCCAGCGGGCCACTCAGATGACCGTCAGCTCCTTGCAGTGTCACCGCCACAAACCCTGGCGCTTCGGACCACGCTTCATGAACCTCTTCAAAGAGGTCAGTGTCAGATAAGGGCTTGAATCACAGAAAACCAAAACCCATGTTATATCACCAGCATGACTTAAGAAACTCCTGTTGCGTTTTGCTTGACCACCATGAATTTTTGATGATGTGTTTTAACATGTTTTGGTAGGGCTTCACAAGCACTAGATCCTTCATGTAATGCTTATATTGCAAACTCACCAAAACTGAATGTCAGATCGTTTCATGTGATATATTACTTCATTGATCCCCTCTGACAGACTATGCTTTACTTCTTAAAGTACACAACATGAAAATATACGGTATTTATGTACTTATAAGTTGAAAGCATGTGGCCTGGCCTGACTGTCAGACTTGGATGCCTACAGACAGAAATAAGGCCTTTGATGCATGAGTGTTTTGATCTCTTAAGTCTTAAATCCAGCCGAGGACCGTTGCCTGCCATGGAGAGGAACATTATCATTCAATCCCCTTACTCATATTTTTCCTCTTCATGCCCCCTATCCTCCTTCTCTCCCTCTCTTCTTTTTCTTTGCATCTCAGTGTCTCTCTCTTTCGTCTTCAGCTTTTCGTTTTGTTTGCCACAGCCCATCCTTTGAAGCATCTGTCCTCCTGTGCTATTCATCACTAGATAAAAACCTTTTTGATTGCAAGAACCAGTAATATGTCTCACACAGCACTCAATTAAAAACCATTTCTGACAAGAGTGTGCTGAATATGAGGACACAGCTTTCATTTCAAAGGCTAAAATTAAATCCAGGGCACTTTAACCTGTGTGCTCTCTCTCTCTCCTCTAGATATTGTAGTAGACAATGTTCAGTGTGTTTCTGTGGGCAAAATTAACTGAATTCTATTATAAAGGTGTGGAGACTTGTTATGCACATCATTTCATGACAGAAAACACAGAAGAAAAGAGGGTCATATCCTAGAAATGTTAAATTCTACAGAAAGGTGTCTCTCACATTCAATGCATGGGCTTCTTGCTAATTATTTTAAAGTCTGTTTTGATTGATATACCTTATTCAAGATCAATTTTGTCATATTGACTTTATAGCAAAAAAAAAATTCACTTCACGATAAGAAAATGATGCAGGAAGGTTTATGAATATTGAAGAATTTCCTTCCAGCTCTCCAGAATTCAGAGGGATACAGCGAAAATAGATATTTTTATTTTATACAGGAAATAAAACAGTGTATGACTGTATAATACCCTCAGTTTTAGCATTTTAACAAATTCCTGTTGTTCAAGACTTCTTGTTCCAAAGGAGAAACCTGGCTGGCAGCAACACATACATTTCACTTCATACTCTACATGAATTAGGATAAGGTTGCGGTGGCTTGGTGTAACATGGCACTTTTTATTTATTTCTTATTTCTCTCTCTCAGTATTTAGCAAAAGAAGAATATTGATTCACGTGTGTGTGTGTATAAGAAATTATCCTTAAACATCAAAATATGCAGCATACAATAAGTGAAAAAGTTGAATTACATGATGGAGGAAAAAGGAAAATATTAAATTAAGTCACTTTGTGGAGGATCTGCAATACTGTGCTTATCCTGAAATTATCCCATCTACAAACAGCTAGGCAAATGTGCTATAATGTACAGATGCACAAATTAACTATCAGCAGGTAAAAACAAGTAATTATCATCCACAAAGTGCATGCATGTTAACATGAATAAATACATAATACTAATATTATTATTCCAAATATTAGCTTTTTGCATTTATATACTAATTCTTAGATTCCTTACTGAACAGTATGAATATGCATATAAATTTAATTATTACTACTATCACGAACCTAAACTTTCTGCATATTGAGACTGTACTGGAGAAGAACCTGTACACGTCTCCGAGTCTTCATCTGATGTGATCCAGCGAGTCTTCCAACTGTCTATCAACACTTCTCTCTCCCTCTGCATCTCTTCTCCATAGGCACAGTGGGATGGTCTGACAGGGCACATTGTTCTTAATAAGACGGATGGCCTGAGGAGAGACTTTGATTTGGACATCATCAGCCTCAAAGAGGACGGCACTGCCAGGGTGAGCACAGAGGCCTAGAACAGCCAATTACACCACTCTCATGCTGCTTCCACACTGGCTGAATCATTCCATTAAGGCATGTGTTTGTGTGTGTGTGTATGACTTGATTTTGTCCTTCCCCTATGATCGAAGCACACATTTCATTATGCTCCTGCTTTTTTTCCTAAAATGTAACTCAGACACCACACCTGACAATTACACACTGCTGGTACACAAGTACAGGAGTGCCAGGATGTTGGATTTGTTCCGTCATGAATGTCAATAACGCTGCAACAACTGATTGTCTTTCTCCACACTGTTTGCGCTTCATCTTGCCCTCTTCACATTTTCAAAAAGGGTGTTGTTGAGGGCGGAAGTCGCCTCACGAAGAGGTGGATCAAGGTTTGTGCCAGTGCCATGTTTGGTCCAAGCCTTTGTTGTTTGCCCTCTCTCCTCCCCTCTTTTCTCAATCTGTATGCCACGCACCTTCCTGCTCCTTGCCTTGTCAACCTTGTTGCTCTTCACTGATTTTGTGTACAGACTTGCCATGTATTTGACATTTCAGTGTTCCCTGTGTTTGGGTCCAGGCATTGCTCTGACACTCGTCAAAACTTTGTCAGCAGTGGTAGAAAAAAATATTATATTTCTTTGTGCAAGTAACAATAACAATAACTCAATTAGAAGTAAGAAGTAAGTCCTGCTATTCCAGTTAATGTAATTGTCATTCAGTTCCCACAGCTGGTGGCTGTGAGTAATAAGAAAGAAATAAGTGAATTTATCCTACCAATCCTTCACTTTTGCAGAGACTTGTCAGTTCTTGTCTTGTCAGTACTACTAATAATGTGCTTCACTATTAGACTGCCTTCATACTTTAATGGAAATCATACAGGCTAGAAGTATTTAATTGCAGCCAAGAGGGATCCAGTTAGCTGAGGAGACGACAGCTTAAGTCAGGCATCAAGACTTGCTGCAAGAGGACCCAGTTTCCTTTGTTTGTAATTGACACATGGTGCATAAGTTAAATGCTCACTCCAATGCAACTGTTCAAGACTTGTATCTAATCAACCTTGTTTTTACCAAGTAATTCTTTCTTTGTCAAATTAAGTTATATTTAAAGAGCAAATGTATGCTTTCATTAGCTCTGTTCTTATCATTTACACCTCTTGATTTAGTGTCACCAAATATACTGTAAATACCGTAATTATACTGCAAACTAAACATACTTTACTTTATACCTCTGCTTGTCACCTTGAGACCAATTTGGGGAGTGAAAGAACGAGAGTTGAATTAATTTATCCCCTCAAACACATAGTTTACTGTCAGAAGTTGGCAAAGTTCTTCCTCTGTCTGTCTCAGTTGTCAGATAGACAGGTATGTAGGCAGGCAGCACCTGTCAAGGTGCAGAAGCAGTGATTTATACTGTAATTTTTATTCCATTCAGTGCTTTTAGCCCTCAAAAGCCTTCCACCAAAGCAAGTCCCACAACATGGTAAGAACATCACATAAAACGCTTGACTTTATGGTCACGAAAAATGAATTATCAGTGCGTTGCAGTTGTGTTAGTTCTTGGGCAGTGGAGTGTTAAATACACTCTGAAGAAGATGATGGGGCTAAACAAAGTAAAAGTCTCCTAGGAAATAAAGTATTTTCTCTTAAAGTTGTTTACTTTCTGGAAATAATGTTTTTTTCCCCCTCCCAGTTTTCTTGGCCTGGCTCAGGATGTCTCCTGCTCTGTGGTAACGGTTTTCCAGTCTGATTTGGTTCTGGATGGAGATGAGCTTTAGGATTCATAGATAACATTTTACTCCCAGCGCATGAGAGAGAATTCCTGTCAGTTTTTATTGCGCACTTTGTTGTTGGAAGCCTCTCTGGTACGCATGATAAATTTGCAAGGCTATACACAGTAAATCCATGACTTAGGGGTTTAAAAGATGATGACTGAATGCTGTGCAGCCCTCCTAGGCTATATTTTAGCATTGATTTCATTGGCCTGGTCAGATTACTTCATTACTTAAACTTCAAACTGACTAATTGTGCGGCTGATATTTCATAGAGGGTGATATTTCCCCAAGTAACATATATTTTTTACAACATATAACTTTAGTTAGATTATGTGAAACTGCAGAGACCAAAATACCCTCCACACCTCCAAAATATTATTCTCACTCTCTTCATTTATCTTTCAGACTGAGGACAATACAATTAATTAAATCCAACCCCATTCACTGTGTTGCTCATCTGCAGTGTCCAGAGATAAGGCAGATTAATGGACTCCTACACAGAGTGGACCCTTGCGAAAGTGCCACAGTGGAGATATAGAGTGCTTTTAGCAAGGTTATAAGTGAGCACATTTTCTGCCTGTCAGACTAGGTGAACAGAATAAGATAGAATGTAATGAGGAGTGAAAAGCATGTTATCTTTTCCAATGGGTAATCCCACATAGCCTCTTTTCTGAAAAATAAATTGTGAAAAATAACACTACCTTCTGTAGAGCTCAGTTTAATAAGAGGTACTGATGCGTTCACTACTACTTATCCTCTTATGCTGTGAACGAATGAACAGGCCCTTGTTTCTGACTAAAAATAACCAAATTCATTACTTTTTGTTCACACACTGAATAGAAAATATTAAGGAAAACTTGCTTCCATCACTCACTTTATTTCTTATGTACAATGAAGCTTGATAATTTAATGCACTTAACTTTATTGCTTCACTGTCATGAGCCCCCTTGACCTTTGCTCAGCTCTTAACCAGTGAGGGGATTTGAAAGCGTCAAAATCCAGCTGCCAGACGCCTGTTCTAATCTGATAACTGTCTGGATTATACCGCCTGGTCCAATGAACCGGACACTCATTCACAGTTTCTGTAGTACAAACACAATGTTGCCCTCTATCCCTGTCTGACCCTGCCCTTCTTCATTCATGCTGTCTTCGCCTGTGTGGTTTAAAATTCCTCACCATCTTGTTCAAGTATGGTTGCAACTAATGATTATTTTCATTATCAGTTACTCTGTGGATTAGTCTCTCAATTTATTGATTAATAATTTATATTCCACAGAAAGAATACATAATGTAAAAATAATTTAGTCCAGTTTAATGTCATCAAATGTTGTGTGTTGTGTGACTGTCAAAAACCTTAAGATGTTTAGTTTATTATCACACCAACAAATCAGTTAATCTTAACCACAGGAACCTGGAAATGTGTGGGAAGTTTTAAAATTGCCAAAAAAACAAAACAATTAATTGATGATTGAAATAGTTGTTGATGAATGGATTTATGGCTTGCAATTTATTGAAGTTATAATATGCACAAAAGTAAGTCCATTCATGAAAGAATAATAGACATAAAAAAAAATATACAGTATAGTTGAAAACGTTAATTACAATTACAGTTTTTGTAATCAACATGTGTCTACTATTTTTGATATATGTGTATTTAAAGTACACAGCATTCAAAATTGGACTTCTTTCTGTTGTCAGTAAGATTTATCTTAGATCAAAGCGTTGAAATATAAATGCTAAAAGATGACCATGCCAATCCAAAACAACAATTCATCATAAAGAATTTGTAGCTTTCACATTTGTTTTGCAAAACAGCTTGTTGTTCGGGCTGCACAATATGTTCGACGCCTGAGAGTCAGATAACTCGCTGCACACAACAGGAATTCTATTGGTTTCCTCCAGAATAGCTATAAACTTTTACCTTACACACACAATCAGCAACTCCATTTGGTGCAAACTACTTCATTTTCATATTCACTACATAAAATGAAGTTTTTAGGCACTTTGCCCAGAATCATCAGAGCACAGCTGAGCAAAGGGAAATAGTGTAGTGAAGGATTGTGAATGGAGCAGAAGGTTGAAAATGAACCAAGAGTGTCAGATCTTTTAACCTTATACTTTTTCATTTTTCTGTTCGACGAATCAGAAAATATGATTAATATGCAGTGTATTGGAGCAGTATCTATTTTCCTTTCAAGACATAGGGACTAAATAAGACTCTGTATATTTTGTGTCAGAGATAAGAAAAACAATCCATCAGCCTATTTCCTTTAACAGCAGCTAGTGTCAGTGATCATTAATGATACAACCTTATTCAAAGCTTTAACATCTATTCACTTCAATTTTGTCTTAAATAGTGACAACAATAGTGGGTGTAAAATGTATCTTGCTGTTGTTCTGATCAAAGCAGGAAATGTGGTTCAATAAGTCTGAAGCCCTGTTTGCCTTTCCAGATTGCTGTGTGGAACTCGTACAAGGGGATGAACCTGACGGAGTCCAACCGAGACAAGAATAACAATGTGACAGATTCTCTGGCTAACAGGACTCTTATTGTAACCACAATACTGGTGAGGAGGAAAGAGGAAGGTTAAAGAGAGGACAGCATAGGGAGTAGGAGGGGGGTACATATGGGATGTATAGAGTGCAGATAGGGGGACAACAGAGGAAAACACAATGAGAAGGAAAAGGAAACTGTGGAAAGGAGTGGTGTTTAGGAGAGGAAAATCTGAACTGGATAGTTTGGATAGTTTGGATTTATATTTTATTTTATAATTAGTTTTGTCTAATTATGCACGCAGATCATACACAGACAAAATATAGCATAGAATATTTAAGTATATGGTTAGTCAGTGAATATTCATACATACTAATTCAACTAAAGCAACCTGAAGATTAAAACAACAAATTCAGTTATACTTTAATTGCATAGAAAGATCTGAATCAGAATCTTAAAAACATTGACATTCAGCATTTTTTTTGTTATACAGGAAAATCCATATGTGATGTATAGAAAGTCGGACAAGGAGCTGGCTGGGAATGATCGTTTTGAGGGTTACTGCCTGGACCTTCTGAAAGAGCTCTCCAACATCTTGGGTTTTACGTATGAAGTCAGACTAGTGGGTGATGGGAAATACGGAGCCCAGAATGACAAGGGAGAGTGGAATGGGATGGTCCGGGAACTGATTGACCACGTGAGTTAGTAGAAGTCACACTACAGCGGTTCTTATTCACAGGTATAATAGCTAGCCAGGAGGTATGTTGGGTTAATGAGTGACATTTGAGCGTAACCCTAGCTTTTTGGTTTCATGAATGTGGCCACCACCCAACTATTCTTAATGATATTCAGAGCTTTTACCTTAGTAAAAGTACCAATTCAGCAATGTCAAAATACTCTTGATTGATAGAAACAAAACAAATACTGGAAGAAACCAATGTAACTGTGAGCAGTGCCTGTTTTACCTGTCGTATCTTACTTCGTTTTCTGACTTTTTCAAGGTTGCAGACCTTGCTGTGGCTCCCTTGACTATCACCTATGTAAGAGAGAAAGTCATTGACTTCTCAAAGCCCTTCATGACCTTAGGTATCAGCATCCTATACCGCAAACCTAATGGCACCAATCCGGGCGTGTTCTCGTTCCTTAATCCCTTGTCTCCGGACATCTGGATGTACGTGCTGCTAGCCTGCACAGGAGTGAGTTGTGTGCTCTTTGTGATTGCCAGGTAAGAGGATGGATTGATGTGTGTGATAATGAGAGGATGTATGATGGGATCAAAAAATATATGGGTTGTGGAGGATATAGTGTAGGGTGTATAGTATATGGTTATAGAACTGTCCACAGCCAGGGTCAGCCTTGCCTCAAGCTCTAATTTGAAAGTACAAAGGACAGGAAAGCTGTGAGATTGTGCCTGCACTGATCATTTTAAAACAAAGCAGTGTCATGCCTGATGTATCAAATTCACACGACAAGAATCACAAATAATTGTTATTACCGTACTTTCTGTAAATTTCCAATTTTATATAGCCATTCTGAAATAATAATATGCTTTTAGCTGCCTGTCAGCTGCCAGATTGGCTTCCATTGTGTTTGTGAAGTGTAAAGGAGCAATTGCAAGCTCCATCTTAAACTTAGTCTGAGGTTCTGTGCCCCTGTATATGTATATGTATATGTATATGTATATGTGTGTGTATATATATATATTATATATATAATATATATTTGTTGTGAAAATGAAAATGCAAATCAGTGTACACAGTACACAGAAGAGGTTTTCTTCTTTAGATTTTGCATGTTTTCTTCCAATATTGGAATTTCCTTTCATCTCCTTTTCTCTCTGTTCTTTTGTTGTCTTGCAGGTTTACTCCATACGAGTGGTACAACCCACATCCATGCAACCCATCCTCAACTCTCATACAGAACAATTTCACTTTACTGAACAGTTTCTGGTTTGGCGTTGGAGCTCTCATGCGGCAAGGTATTTAACTCACAGTTAAAGCAATTATAATCAACATTTCCCTTAACAAAGGATCAAATGACTACTTGTTTGTGTAAAAGGTTGCCTTCAAAAGTCCTCCAAATCAAACAGCAAAATACTAATAATAATCTAACGCCCCTACTAGCAGGACACCATCATTTGTCTGTCCCTTCCACAATTGTTACAAATCACTATTGTAATACATTTATTTTATGATGTGACAAAAGGGAAATATCATGGGGATACTTTGTTAGGGTTAGGGGACTACCTTTGCTCCTATCATAATTACTACAGCCACTTGTCACTTGAATGGGCACTTGCTGAAATGGGCGATTCTGTTGTTCTTCCTTGAAAGACAGTCTTGGTTGCTCCAAATGACAAACCTGAATTTTAATGTTTTCTGGTCCAAAACCCTCACCACTCTCACCAGTGTTGTGTTATGTCGCAACAGGCAGCTGTTTTCAGCTAAAAGCTTTGATAAAACCCAATGTACGCTACCTGCCAAGCACCAAACAGCAGACAGAGAAAGTTACAGTTGCGACTAGCTGGTAAACATAGTGGAGCATTTAGCAGCTAATAGAAGGGATATTTTCTCTGGAGTTATAGTAGCGACCAGATAAGAGCTAAAAGGGGATTTAATATTGGATTGTCAGGTGGTCAGAGACGCAACTAAAAATCTGTTACTGCAGTTTTAAAAGGTTATTAGTAGCTCTCTAACAAACACCCTGTGCAGCAGAAA